TTAAACTTTGAATATTGATTAATAATAATAAAATATATGAAAAGTGTTTGTAACTGCAGGTACTAATGACGTTTTATAAGTTGGCAATTGAAAAGATTTTTTTTCTATTTAAGAATATTTTATGTTGAATGTTTCTCATATTCATGATAATTAAGTTGATAAGTTCTCAAAATATACGTCATGTAAAAATAAAGTAGAAAAATGTAAAAAGTATAAATAAAATGAAATTGGAGTGGGGAGAAAATTCAATTGAACGAAAGTGCAAAATTTCACACTTGAAAAAAGTGTTTTTTTTTTTGTTTTTGTGTTTTTATTTTTACAAATAAATTAATACTTACATAATTATTATGATTTTCTTTTTTTTTTTGCTTAAATATCCTTGAACAGGATAATAACGATAATATAATAAAAAAAAATTTATTTTACTTTCATTTGATTTGATTTGCTTTGGTAATAAGAATAATGAAAAGCAAGGGTTGTAAATGCAATAAATTGAAATTCTAACAAGAGAAAGGAAAAAAAATAACAAAAACAAATGAGATTCTTTTAAAGATTTATTGAAACGAAATTTAAGTAGATTGACAACAATTTTTATTTGCCAAATAACTTATTATTATTAATATTATTGAAAAGTGTTAATTATTTTCAGTATTAACACCTTTTGACAGGTGAATGATAATTTAAAAAAAATATAAGATGAAAATAGGAAAAATTATTTGTTCCAATTGGTTTCTTTATAAGAGCGAATCAAAGGTTGTATGGGATTTAAAAATTATAGAAAATTTTAAGAGAGATTTCGTATTATAAAATGATAAAGAGCTGAAGTTTGAAGTTACTGCTAATTTTTAATTCAAAATTAATGAAAATACAAAAATAATTAACATTAATTACAAATAACAAAATTATTATCAGAAATAAAATAAAATTATCAAGAAATTCGGCAATATTTTGGAAAATATTTTTGATTTATCTGATGAAAAATCCTTTAAATTTCCAAATTTTTGAATAAATCATGGAATTAAAATGTAAAAAGAAATTTTTAAGCTGAAAAAAAAATAGATTAATTCGAATGGGGTATAGCGTATTCGCTTAATTTTGTCAGCATGTTATTCTTATAAGATAAGGATGGTTGTGTATTAGAATTTTACTTAAAAATTCAATTTCGCTCAAAATGCTTGTGATCTTGAATGTGCTTTTATATAATGCAAATATTATTATGATAAATTTGAAATGAGATCATTCTTAATAGAAAACTAACAGTTTCGGAATTTTAAGAACGAAAATGAATAACAGGATCTTTTTGCATATATTTAGGAGGAAATTTGGGGTAATTTTTTAATAAATGGAAGTTAATTTGGATGGACAAAAAGCTTTACTTACATAATGGATTAATATAAGCGAGATGTACAGATTTTTTTCGTTTCAGTTTCCAATGAAAAAATTTTTTCCTATTATCTTCTTACTTCATCAAGAGTTAAAAAAATTTTCCTCCAATATAATGAATAACTTTAAGAAAATAACAATATTTACTAATTGCAAATACATAAGTGCTAAAATTTTTTACTGTGGAAAGCAGGTGATTTTGTTTTGGATAAATATTTTAAAATAATTAAGAAATATGAGGAACTGTCAGAGAAAAATGTTTTTAAATAATTGAAAAAATTTTATAAAATCTCCATTCGTTTGAAACTGTTTACAGACAGATGTTCAGAACAGATACAACTATATGATGAATAAAGACTAAGATGATAAAATTAATATATTTTTAATATTTCCTATGGTATTCTTATAAAGTATGATTTCAATTTTAATTAAAATAAAATTAATTTTTGGGAAACTCCGAAAATATGTGATAGCAAACCTATAACAGGTTCATTAGAATGGTAGGCAGAATAAGTCATTCAACATTTTATTCAACAAATATAATTTTTTAGTTTTCATATTTATAGACGTTTTTGCCGTCGGCAATTCACTCTGCTTGGCAATTTTATTCAATCTAATATTACTAAAATTATTTTTGCAAAACTTATCAGACTTCTCACGTTTTCCCTTTCATATGCAGATATGAAAAGATTTTTTTTTTTTTGTTATTAAATTTTTTTATAAGATTTTTATTATTATTACTTTTTACGTAGAATTCAGACTTAACAGACTTAACATACATTTTATTCTTATTATTTTACTTATTTAATCATTTTTTAATATTTAAACAAGTGTTAAACAGAAAGAAACTGTTTTGTGTATGTAAAGTGTAGTGTTGTGAAAAGCTTTTTACAGTAAACAAAATGTTTAAAATTTGATAAGGTGTGATATAATGTTTTTCTTTTGTTTTAATTAAAATATAGAATTATAAACCAATTTTGATTGTACACACATGTATATATATGTATATAACAGAATTATACCAATCTTACTGCGTTATCTTTACAAAAAAACTATGTAATTTTACTACAACAAATATAACTGTGCTGCTACCTTTAGAGATAAAAATTTTATCTGAGAAAAACGACGAATTTTACATAACATGTAATTAATAATAGAAATTTTCTTTTTTCGCGAGTTAATATAGGTAATAATAGGTTAAAATGAACTATATATTTATTTGAGTGTAAAATTTGTATGAGGTGCGAAAATAAAAATAATTTTGCAAAATGAGTACTTAAATTAGAATATAATAAGAATTATTTAAGTTAAAATTTTGAATAAACAGTAGGTAAAAAAATTTGGAGTGATTAATATGAAATTTGCTAAGTAAGGTCCGTGTAGTAGTTTCCTTTTAATGTCATCAACGTATTCAATATTATAAACGTATGTATGTACTTCTGTTTTATTTAATATAAATATCGGCTCCTTTCAGTACTTTAATTAAACAAAATTAAAAAAAATATTGTTTAGTAGAGCCTAGTAGATATGCAATGAAATTTTTCTTTGTATATTATCAAAAACCAATCATACTGAACGGGTAGAATTATTGACGTCCGCAAGCTATACTTTTCATAAAACTTCCCTATGCAGCTATAAAAATTTGAGGACCGGTAAAATATAAATAGAATAGTCGTATTTAATAGTTCCTCACTCAAATTTTAAATATTAAATGAAATTATTAAAAATTAAATTTATTTTTATGAATATTAAAATCTGCAATTGCTGATGCGCAAAAGTATAGTCACCGATATGCTATAAAATTAATCAGGGAGTCAATTTAGGAATCCACGTGCCGTTGTTGTAATCTTATATATGTATGTAATCGTTAATATCAAAATATTTTATCAGGTGTTAATTTTTAAATTTATAATAAATTTTATTTTAATATTTTAAATGTGATAAATTTTATAGAATCGAGTTTAACAGGAATTATTAATAATTCCAGGATTATTTTTTTTATTCAAAAATATGGTTTAAATATAGTTTTAATCTTAAAATAGTCAGAATTAAAAAACAAAAACGATTCCAATGCAATTCTTCTCAATACTTTACCATCAGTCTGGTTTTTATTAAAGTTTAATTAATAAAATCAGAAATGTGCCCAAATGAATATAGAACGAAATTGAGAATTACAGAAAAGAATAATTTTTTGTTTTGCTTTTTGGCAAATATTTTTTGACTGATTCTGTCCGTCACTGGACACCTTTACAAAACTTCTAAATCCTTGAAGATAGGAAACAGAGATTTAATATGTACATACCCCTTCATTAGAGATTTATTTCCGTAGATGAAAATTTTTACTTATCTCTCTCTTTCTAAAAGTTATAGCGCCTCAAAAACCTAGAATGTCAATTACATTGTACAAACGCAGGCAAATAGTGGATGAATTCTTCTACCGCGGTGTAGCATAGCTAAACTTTAAAAAGACAAAAGGTTTTACGAGCTTTTAGACACTAATAAATAGTTCAGTTCGTTAGAAGAAACAGTTTTTTCCAAAATTTATAAAATTTGAATATTTGACATATTATATTTGCGAAATCGCAATTTTTTTAAAATTTCTATAAACGCGGAATGGTAACGGTAAATTCCATGTCATTAAAAAATATAATTATTTTTCTTAACTCACGAAATTAACCCTTAAAATCGTGCATTATGTTAACGTCTCTTTCGATTTCTTTATTTTTTGTTTCATCCGAAAAGTATGCAATATTTTCCTAATTGAATGAAGCTACATAAATTTACTAATTAACCATTGGTTTGACACAACTTTATTTTATAAGTTAATTTTGTTGAACAAGTAAAATGTGATTATTTTGTATTATGTAAAAATGAAGCAAAAAATGTTTTTTTTTGTAATTCATTGTTTGTAAGTGGCCTGATTTAGGCTACCATTAAATAAATTTTAAAGAAATTTTTGGGTTGTCATTTAATTAAAAAATAAAAAGCTCGCTCCTCATAAAATTTGCAAGTCAACATTAATATGATAAAATTATTATGTAAAAATTATGTTTAAAATATTCACGAAATTTTCAACATATTGAAGAAAAGTCACGATTTCGGTCTAAAAAATTTGAGCAATACAAATTTCATTTTAAAACAAATTTTATAACTCAAATTTAATTGCAATTTCGCATATCACGAATTCTTCTATACGGCTATTCAAATTATTTCCTATATTTATTAGCCACGCACTACAGTTCCATTTTTTAATAAGCAGAATCTAAAATAAAATGAGCAAGCGTTATTAGATTTTAAAAGTAGTGTTTTTGTTTTTTTATTTTTGCTTTTTTAACTACTATGTAGGAGGTGAGTTTATGTTATCAACTATTATAACAGTTGTTTAACTTATTTTATTTTGCGATAAGTAAAGTCATATAATAAAAATAATGGAAAAAAAACAAAAATATAAAATGAAAGCCTTTAAAAAAATTTAACATTAAAATTAATTAAAGAATATTAACAAGCGAAAGTGATAAGAGTTTTGAACTCTTTTTTTTTTTGTTTGTATTTTTTATTGTTATTATTTTTATTTTTTTAAATTTTTAAATAAAAAATAACATTCAAGTTCAAGTGGATTTCATTTAGCCCTACGATAATATTGAAAAGATGTACGGAAATTTTAATTCTTGTAAGAATAAATTGTAAATTTTGAACAGAAAACAAAGAAAAAAAGAAAAAATAAGAAAATAAAAAAAAACAAGAAAATAAATATGAATTTTTTTTTTAATTTTTTATTATTTTTTATTTTTTTTTTTTGTGCTAATCGATTATTCCCCGTTTAGTATTCGTTGTGGTATTAATTTGTTGCGGAAATTTTTATTTATATGCCGAAGGATATTTTGAATATTGTGATCATGTTTATAATTTAGATAGATTTGGTCAAGTTTTTATCAATTCACCATATTATTCAACAGTTTATACACCACAGACATGTCAATTTCCATCGAGATTACCATGTCGATATACACCAGGAAGTTCATGCCGTTATCAAATAATAGCACCAAGAGATTTTAATATATATGCTCAGTGTAATATGTCATTGGATAGTGTATGAGTATAATGCAATATAAAATTAAAAATAAATTATTTAATAATTAGAAAATATATATATATATATTTAAAAGAAATCATTAATATGGGAAATGAGAGCTTTAGCAATAAGTTGTACATTATTGTTATAAATTTAATAATTTCGGGTATTGAAATCATTTTAATAGTCTTTATATTTTAAAATGTGTGATTTATTTAAGAACTGAAAGCTTGTGTAAAAATATTATTTGAATTTTTAAATTTAAAGGGCTAATAATAGTGTTTATGAAAAAAATATTGTAAAATAATCTTGATATTGCAAGATTACAGAGTTTCTTATAAAAACGGTAATGGACATTTGGTAGAAACTTTTTCATACCTTTGTAACTAAGTTGGTAGAACGCTCACCTAGAAAGCCAGTAGTACGAGGAGAAAAATTTTTTAATAAATTTATCTGCTTTGTTTTGTGCCTTTAATTACGTCAGTTATCTGTTTTGCAGTTGTATGAAGAAATTTATATTAGTTATTTTTATAAGATTCAATAATAAAAACTATAAACTACTGCACGTTGCATTGGTCATTAATAATAAAATTAAAAACTTAATTGAATTCAGCGGGCTATACTTTAGCAATTGTTTGTTGACAAAATTAGAAATTTTTTGTTTATTCTTTATATTCCAAAGAATTTTTTAAATTTTTATTAAATGTTAAAAAATTTGAGCTTTAACATAACATAAATTAATAATATAGAAGAATTACTATTGAAAATCTATAAGTAGGCAATTAGAGAAGAACCAATATAATAAATCCCTCCGAAATTCATACACGCTGATGGAAAACAATATTTTACGGAAAATTTGAAGAGTTTACTTAAAGTTGTTCATTGGAGATTTTTTTCAAAAATTCTTAATTAAGTTTTAGTTATTAATGAGATTTTTTTCTCAATGTACAAAAAAATGCTATCACTTAGATCATTTTTAATATTTTATCAAATTGCTGGCTTAATTAATTGTATTGTGGGCGACTTGAAAAGATATTTTTGTATTGCATAAAACGCTTTCAATGTATGAACGTTCTGCCGCCTAATGTTCAATTGCTTGTTTAAACTCTTGACCAGGATGTTATTGAATTGTAAAAAAAAATTTAATTGCAAATGATGTCTGGCAATCTATGATATTTAAAATAACATTAAATTAAGATAAAAATTTTAATTTCTAATAAATTCTTAAATCAATTTATATAGCCTCAAAATTTACTCACTTATACCTAATATGGTTTTAAGTTCTTAATATGAAAGTATATATAATATAATTAATATTAAATAATAGATAAATAATTATATTATAATAATATGATATTAAATAATTGTTAATTAAATAATAGATAAAAATAGTACAAGACTATATAAAAATTAAGAATATTGCACAATAATTAATAATTTTATACAATGATTTACTTCTCATATAAAATTAATTTTAATTTTGTTTTATTGTTTTTTTGTTTAATTTAAAGGCTGGATCATATTGTACAACCGAATATTTTTATATAAGTGTTGATGGTGATAAAAATTTACAATCAAGTGAATACTTTTGTGGTAATGGACAATTTAAAAGGCAATCAACATTTAATGAATTAACAATAGCTTATACTTCATCATCATCTTATAGTAGCGGTTGGTTTACATGTTATTTAGAAGCAATACCAATTCCTCAAGATGAATGTGATTGTGGTTGGTCGATGACATCTAAAATAACTGGTGGTGTTGAAGCAAAAATTAATGAATTTCCATCGATAGCAGCAATTGTTGATGAAAATGATTTATATAAACCATTATGTGGTTCAACAATTAGTAAGTTTTATTTCTTTAATTTATTCGTTACCATTGAATTTGACTATTTATTTATACAAAATTTATTTTATTCTAGTTCATTATAGATGGGCTCTAACAGCAGCACATTGCTTTGATTCTTTTACAGAAAAACGTGATTTTAATCCTCAGACATTGAAATTATTAGTTGGAGAACATGATTTAAAAACAAGTGAGTATACAGAATATTTCAAAATAAATTTATTATTAATTAAACATATTTGAAATAATTTTCTTTAAAAACTAATAAAATTTTACTTTAAGACGCTGAAACACCTTATACAGCATTTTATACAATTTATTCAGTGATAATTCACAGTTTATATAAAGTGGATGGATTTGATTATGATATAGCTTTGATTAAAACTTTTGATAATATGAGATGGTCACGAGGTGTTGGTCCTGTTTGTTTACCTTTTAGATGGGTGTAAGAAATTATTTTAGATTGATTTTATTTAATTAAGAAATTCAAGTACTTGATGGTTTTTTTCATAACATTTAAAAATTATTCTTTTAGTGATTATTCATTTGTTGGGATACCAGTTGATGTTGCTGGTTGGGGTACAACAAGTTTTGCTGGAGCAAGATCAACAGTATTACAAAAAGCAACATTAGATGTTGCATCTGATCTTGACTGTTATCAGGCATATAATCAATCTACTGAATACACTTATAATTATATGAGGCAAATGTGTACAAAAGGTGAATATAAGGATGCTTGTCAATTTGATTCCGGTGGTCCAGTATATTGGCGTAATCGAAGAATGTTTTTGCTGGGTGTTATTAGTTTTGGTAAACCATGTGGAACTAATGAACCATCAGTTAATACAAGAGTAACAAATTATTTAAATTGGATTGAATATCAAACACAAGAGAGATATTGTAAAGTATTTAATTAAAAAAAATAAAATGAGTATAAAAATAATATTAATCTCAAATTATTGTGGATTTGAGAGAGAATTTTTAACAAAATAGAGAAAATTCTTTTTTAGAAATTTTTTGTTTTTACACCTATGTTCATGTAACTTTGGGTTTTGTTTTTATTTCATATGTTTTGTTGTCTTATATGTAGTTTATATGTACGAGCATGCATATGTATATTAATATATTGACATATACACACATGTGTATGAAAACTCATGGATACTACTTTTTATTAATAAAATTTAAAAGTGGCTTTATATACTTTTAAGAACTCTTAAATCTATTATGAATTGCAAATAGGATTTGTAACATTAAATAAGAAATAGTAACTGAAAATATGAGACATTTAGTGTTTTAGCTGTATATGCTACTTGAATTAGTGAACTGCAAATGGAGGGCTCAGAAGCAAAATAGCCTAACCCTCATTCCCAAAATTTTTACCAAAAATAAGGTTTAGGCCATTTTTTTACTCGAAAAAATTAAATTTTGGGTTTAGGCTCAAAAAAACAACGGAATATAATAAATATTTGACTTTTTTTTAAGCAAAAATGTGGGCAGTGAAGGTTAGGCCACGTGTTTTCTGAGCCTTTTAAATATGAATCAACTCCTCAATGTTATAATGTTTTGAAATGCGGAAGTTTAGACTGTTAACCTGTACCGATTTTACAATTGAGCAAAAGAGCTCTTTGATTCAAACAGAATGGTGGTGAGAGTTTCGCAGTTAACTCCTTCATTATTAGTGTACTTTCATAAGCTGTTATATAATTAGATACTACTCATATTTATGAAAAATTTCTCAGACGGAGGAAAAGCATAATATATATTATGTTCTCTGTGTATGTAATTTCATCAAGTTTAAACGTTAAGTTCCATTTTTTTACACTAGAACGATTAAAGTTGCTTCAAGTCTGTGAGTTACTTTACAAAGTCACAATAAAGCTTCTGTAAATTTACCTGATATATTTCATAACGCTTTTTCAAAGAAACACAAATATGTGAGATGACATCCACACTGAGGAACAAAAATTTTGCAAATTTTGAAAAAGAAAATCCTATTCAAAATGAAATTCGCCTTAGGCTATTATAAATCTTTTTTTTCTCTTATAAAGTTACTTTATATTGTCGCGGATTTATTTGAACCCAGATTATGTCCACAAAATTACACTTTTTTTCTTCCTCAATAAGTTTAATTTTAAAACCTATGGTAAACCCCATAGTTGCGATTACAAATCAACATAAAATTTATCTGTGCTTTTTTTTAATTTTAAGAAAGAAGAACAAAACAAATTCCTTTTCATTATATTTTTTTCACCTCATAAGGTAAAAAGGATATTGAGATTTTGAACTCATTTATATAATAATTTGAACAATAGACAAAGAAACAAAAAAAAAGTCAACACATTGAAAGCAAAAAGAAATCAAAAGCGTTTGTTATACAATAAAAAATAACGAAACAAAAAAAAAATTATAAAAGGATAAAGAAAGAGTATATTATAGAGATTCAAGGATCGACCACTTAAAGATGAAATTTTCTATTCCATATACCCTTTTGGAAGAAAGCACAAGAAAATATACAAATAATACAAGAAAAAGGAAAGAGTCCTTATAATATAGAAAACAAAAAATAAATATCCTTTTTTCTTTCTTTTCTTTTCTGTTCTCTTTTTGTTATTGTAGAGTGTGGAACAAAATACAAAGGAAGCATTAAAAGAAAACAAAAACATTTTCCTAATAATAATAATGATTAAGATGATGATGATGATGATGATTATGAGTATGATTATGAGAATAAGACAATGCCTTAGCAGAATTCCATAACCTAGGATAATCATAAAAAAATGAAGTGCATTCAAAATTATGTAATATAAAAAAATATTAAATAATATATGTGTGTGTCATGATACGATCATGTGATACGGTTGAAATGACAATGAATCTAAGGTTGTTTTAGGAAAAAAACAATTTATTATAAAAGCTAAGAATTTCTTTGTGATTTTTATATAGAAATTCCATAAGAAAAATATATGTAGAAAGAATTTTAAAATCATTATTAAAATTAAGTGTTGATAGAAAAATATTTTTAGTCAAAGTATAAGCTATTTATTCTACATTTTCATATATCAAGAAATGCGGTTTTAATTAAATTTTAAACTGGTACAAGGTATATGAAATTTTAATCCAAGTACTTTTATCTTATTCTACTGTTTATCAATTTGTTCATAATAAATTTGTGCATTATTAGATTTGGCAAATCAAATAATTATGGATTTCATAAAATTACTATAGTTTTATGTGCTAACATTCCAAATTTCGATCCTAATGTTGGATATTTAAAACGAAAATATAATGTGAAAGCTCTTAGCCGTGAAAATATTGTTGTTCAGAATTTATTTGAAGTTTATATTTATTTTTAGAAGGAAAGCAAGTGATTTGGGTAGAGGAGCAGTTAAATGTGAGAACACAATTATGGAAGAAGCTTTCATTTTAAATGAGGGTTTCGTTGCCCGTACTGATTAAATTGGCCGTTGATATGTGTTGAATTAAGTGTCTTTTAATTAAAATTTTATCGAAATACCATCATATATGTAGTTAAAAATTACACATATTTTGTTACTGAAGACTTGGTGTTTCATTTTAATTGAAACACCAAGTCTTTTCTGAGCTTTGCGAAAATTTTCTACTCTTGTCAGGATTTTAATACTTTTCTCAGAACTGTTCTGAGCTATCATTTCCAGTAAGTCGATTTTACACCTTTGCAATATTAATCTGGCAATTTTAAATTTAATAGTGTTTTTCCGTTCTTAAATAAGTGTTTCAGTTCAATAGACGGAAAGAACGATGGATAGATTATAAGAGTAATTTAGAATTTTCTTCTGATCAGGAATATATGAATTTTATGGAAATGAAAATATTTCCTAACAATTTTTTGCTTAAGCCTTCAACTATTGCATACATTTAGGAGGGGAATAATATTTTTTTTTAAAAAAATATTATTATAAAACTACGAAATTACTATTTTAATAACAATCAGAATTATTAATAAATTTAAATTATTATTAAATTCATATTTGGTTTTGGAACTAACTTATTAATGCAACAAAATTTCTATTTCAATTCTCTTGTAGAAACTTAATACTACAATACTCTCGCAATGTGTAATTTGATTAAATAAGGTTTCTAATTCATCTATTCCATTATTAGACAAAAATAATTGATTTTTTTATTTCATGCACATAAGCACTTTCCTGCATAATGAAATTTTATTCGACCTAAATTTTATTCGACATTTGACCCATACATTTTCTTTTAAATAAATATTTGGTCTATAATTTTTTTTTAATATGTATAAGGACATTAATGAATATTTTTGTTTTTGGGTCAAAATTTTCTTTTATTATCTGCCGATTATTTGTTTTATTAATTCATTATAATTAAAATCAAATGCTTATATCATTATGAAAAGTATTTTTAAATGGTACAGGATGTCTAGACTGATTATCGAATTAAAGTTTAATATTTAGGTTAATTTGGAAAATGAAAAAAGGAAATATTTTTCAAAATATTTTTGTGTAGAAATAAAAGAAGCTTAAATGGATTTTTAAACTTAAATGGAAAGGAAAAACTATGTGTGTAATTTTTTAAAAATTTAATAATCCAAAATTTTAGAATTTTTATATTTTCTTCAATCCTAACTTAATTTTCTTGTATTTTAAGCGAAACAAATTTTATTGTACTAACCCAAGGCAGTGCATTTATGTCGAAAATTTTTAATATGTAAGAAGTTTTTTTTCAAATTTCGCATATTTCATTCAATTTTCAAGTCTAATTCTAAATACTTTTTGGTTCAAAAAATTCAAGATTAGTATAAATTACCACACAGCTTTGTGTCTTAACCAAAAGTAGAATCAATGGATTCATAGATTAGAAATAGAACTATTTGATAACTGAGTTGAATTTAATGAATTCCGTCTTAATCATTATAAAATACAAAAAAAAAATTATTTATTTAATTTAAAAAGAGGACGCAATATTTTGAATATTTTTCAATAGTAGATCAATTAAACGAGGATAAAAAATATTTTATGAAAAATTGAAATTCTTTCTTATATTATTATGTAAAGTTTCAGAACAGGTCGCATCTCGAGAATAATAAATCAACATCTGCAAATTTGTAGTTTCTAGTAAATTGAGTTCAAATTTACGCTATTTTTATATGGAAATATTAAAGACTATAACATTTTGTTTTATACTAGTTTTGCTTTTAAAATTGTGAAAAATAAAAATCAAGGAAATTCCGCTAAAATTTTTAAAAAAATTAACTTTAAGAATTCAAAAATATTCTTCATTGAAAATCTCGATAATTTTTCCAAAATATAAATTTTTTTCTTTTTTTGGTGTGTGAAGAGAAAACTCCCTTTTATTCAGAATAAAATATTTTTGTACTTGGTAATATAATTTGTGCGCATGTAGCACTTTCTCCAACCTGATTGTCTTCTAATTAAGGCAAAAAACATTAAAATTAAACTCTATTAAAATTAGAAATATTATTCCTGACATTGACTTAATTTTTCACCTGATTTAACTCTTAAAACTGGTCAAATATAATTAAGGCTTGTTGTAACTAGCAGAGGTCTCTCTCTTATCTATGGGGCATCTCTAATTTAGTTTCAGTTGCAACTGTTGTAAAACTGATTCATATGGACTTTTTATACCCTGCACTTCGTGAAGGGTATATTAACTTTGGTATGGAGTTTGTAACTACTTGAAGGAGTCATCTGCGGTATGGACATATATATATATTCTTGCTCAGCGTAAAATTCTGCGTCGATTTAGATATGTCCGTCTGTCCGTCCGTCCGTCCGTCCGTCCGCCCGATCGCACGATAACTCAAAAACGAATAATGCAATCGACACCAAACTTTCACAAGTTTTTTCTTTTGCGCCAAGGACGAGCCCTTTTGTTATTGGACTAATTCGGATAACGGGTTCGGGTAGCTGCCATACAACTCAAAGAGTTTATTTTAA